ACGCAGTTCTGGCGAGCTAAGAAAATGTTTGTCTCCCTGAGCTTGGCCTTCATAATTCCATTCCATCACAGCATGCTAGGTAAACTGAGCTACTGCTTTTCAGTCTATAAGAGGGACTGCTTTCATTCTATAAGAGGGACATTCATTTTTATATGTATGTTTTCCCCAATCCTGCTCAGGCTTTCTTTTATAAACCATTCAGTAGCAAAATATTTTACCAGCAGAATATTTTACTGGTTCAATATTTATCAGAAGAAAATAAATGCATATATCACAATTAAATAAAGAGCCATGTGTAAGCTGCTTCCAAGATAATCCACTGGTAGGTGCCCTAAGCTGAGATAACTTTAAAATATTAAATGTCAGCAACTTTTGGGTGGGTGATACAAGCAGATGATGGATTAGAAAAAAATCACTATGCTTGCCAAGATTGAGGGAAGGAGGAAGATAGATAGCATCAAAGAAGTTATGGGAATTGTCAGCTCTACTAGGTACACTAGACCAGGAAATCAACCATAGGAAGGCTAAAACTACGTTTATTGACATTAGCTATAATAACGTAATCTTGCAAATCTGATTGTGCTGTACTTCTTCCACCTTCTTATACTCTAGTGAATTAGGGAGGCATCTGCCATAACCACTTCTGAACATTATCTTGTTCTGAACTTTAAAAATGCTACAGCCCCTTTTGTGTAGATAATGGTTCATGCATATCTCCATCAAGGTCATCTTCCTTACTCTCTACAGGAATGTCCTTGGAAGAGTGACAACGTATTGCTGGACAAGTCAAGATGGCAAGCATTTGTCCATGCAGTCACCAAGACCGCTCCATGGCAACTAGGAAACTATAGTTAATTACCATCTAGAAACAATGAGTGCTCACAGAAGAAGTAAATAGTGTTGAGTGTGGAAGCAGCCATGGAAGAAACAGCAACCCTCCTAGTCCAGCTTACATGTTAAAATTGGCAAAGTTATTCTACCAGCTAAGTGAATAGTGGAATAACTTTGATTCAATATATATTCCTGGATTACCAAGGGGTGTAGAGAGCCAGTAAATAGGAAATCATGCTTAAACTTTTAAAAGTTAAAAAATATATTTGGTAGAAGAAGGTTCAGGAGAAAGTATAATTCTATATATCTTAGCACATGAATTTCTTTCCTAAATGATGTTTTCATTGTGTAATATGTTTGATTCAGGTTTGAATTATGAATACTTCAGCAGATGGCAGCATTCAGCCAACCTTATAGAGCTGAGTCTGCTTAGCATTTAGATGGGATACTATCAAGAAATCTAGGGCTATAAACTAGAATGGAATTTTTAAAAAATTCTGAAAGAAGGCAGTGACAAGCCACGTCTGTATTATTACCAAGAAAACACAGATGTGTCTATAACATTGAGTTATATTCAGCCTGAAAGAGATTTTAATTTTTACTAAGCAGACAGAGGCTGATCATCAATATGTAAATCAGATACAAAATAAACTATTGTTTTTCTATTTTTATGCAACATTCTCCATTCACTATATTTTACCCTCCCATCTGTGTCCTATTGTATTCCCTCCTTGAGGTTTCTTGCACATGATGTTTCTTATCTGATAGTATGTTACTGGGCAAGCTCCATATCTAAGTTATAACAGCTACCAATAGAATTTCTGTGTTCAGTTACAAAAAATAGAAAACTGCCTTACAATTAAACGGAACAATTGATTTATTTAATTCTAAACTATCCATACTAACTGAGGGTTCTCCAGGGTTGCAGAAGTTGAGGTGGCATGCTGGAATCTTCTGCATCAGCTCTGCCACTAAATTATTTGAGATAAATTATATATATAGTCTTATTTGAGCATTTCCCAACATCTTTCTACTGGTCACCTTTCAAATTCTAGTATTGGACTTGATAAACCTTTGTTTCTTGAAGGCAGTTCCAGGTTCTTGTTAATGACATAGAATAGTAACTAGAACAGCCTTCCCCAATCTTTAGATAACTAATTTCAAATTTCAGCATTCCCAACCAGCGTGGCTATTGGTTGAATATGATGGGTCTGCAGTCCAATATATCTAGAGTCTGTCAGGTTAAGGAGGATTGAATTAGAACATAAATGGGGGAATATATATTATGACTATGAAATAAACAGTTTAGGAGGCCAGTACCTTGAAGAAGGTTATCACCTGGTTTGTGAAGAACAATATGAAATAAAAAATATTACTGAGCAAAACATTTGTTACCAAAAATGGAATTTCTTACAAGCTGCAGCTTAAGGATTCACCCATCTTATTATACCTTATATCTGAAGTGTATCAACTATGGAATAAACTGGAAGCAGTTGAATATGTTTGCTCCTTGCACATGAGTACCTTTTACTCTCTCATATTACAAAAGATGGTATAGAAAGTAGAAAACTATACCCTTATACTACGATTTGTGGCATCCAAGTACTAGAAGTATCTTGTGGGAGTATTCTAATTAGAAACCCTAGAACATAAGTGACATCTTAAATGAAAATCAAAACCTTTAATGTTTTTGCAAAATTGCAATCTAAACAATGATTTGCCTCTTCAGAGTAATCAGTGTAACACACGATTAATTATCAAGTTCAAATTATTAAGAGGAGTAATAAAAGTTAGAGATCCTCAGAGTTGTGCTTAGATAAGTTTGTAGAAATGTTAGAGTAAGGCTCACTTTTGACTGAATGTAAAACAAAATCTTAAAAATAAGGATGAACAGCATATTAACTGATAGCATATAGTACCCTGAATTCTTTTGTGCAAACCGGTGATTTTATCTAAAACCCAGACACCATCTACACAATTTTCCTGTTTCCCATCAAACTATCAGATTAGTAAGATAAAAATCATCTTGTGTCTTCTAGAAAATGGGTAAAAGGATATGCCTGCACACCCTGAAGATTTTGGAGAAGGCACATGGGGAGTTGGAGGGAAGACAGGAAGTCCTGCTGCATCACCAACATTTACCTGTGATATACTGGGTGTAGCCCATAAATGTGCAGACTTTCATAATAGCACTTGGAATGCCTAGAAGGAAGTGGTTTAAGGAAAATTTAACACCTTTTCTTCCCTTCTTCATAACAAAAATTGCCTATCAGAATATTCTATGTACATTTCATGAAAATGGCACTTCACTGAAATAACATTTGAAGAGACTGTTTTTGTCTGAAGTGGAAGGAAGGGAAAGAGTTAACTCTCCCTTCCCAGGATCACAAATCTGTTAAGACTTTCTTGCTACTTACAAAACAACAAAAATGTATATGTACATTTAGGCTCTGAATCTTTTTTACTTTAATGAACAATTTATACTACATTTGGGCTATCCAGTGTCTATAGCACCCTAGCAGTAGAACTAACTTTTTTGGAAATTATGCAGTTAGCCAATTAAAAATATTAATTAATAACTGTGCATCATGGTGCATTCTGATCAACTTAATCATACAGTCATACTGGGTCACTGGGGAAAAAGGAAGGAATAGTATTATATCCATTAACCTTATTAGGTCCAAATTTCACGGAACTCTGTTGGAAGGAATGAAGGGCAGAGACAGTAGAGGGTTTAGTAGAAACCATGTCTATGATATGACACTATCTTAAGAAGATGATTTAAAATACTCTTTTCTTATTAATTTAGTCTGAAAAGTCCTTTGTCATGTCAACTCTCAATGCAATACATCACCAATTACAGTTAGATGTTGAATAAAATAAATGTCAACCTTATCTGGCTCAGTCTGCAACATATCAAAGAGAGAGACCATATAGGGAAGATAAGTTACCAGGTTCAAGCCCTGAGATGTCCAGTTTAAATAAAAAATCAGGAAGGAATAGATGAGAAATAGCACAAATCGGCTTTCTATGTACAGAACCGTGCAGTTTTGTTTGCCTTTTCTGAAACTCCCTTAGAAAATTGTTCCAGGCTCCTAGAACCCTGCTCTGAGAGATATCATCAAATCCTACTTCAAAAAATGTTTGGAAAGCTTTATTGTGCATTATGCTAATGATCCCCCCCCTTTTTTTGCTGTCACTTTACTCTTGTTTACATTATAATTATTGATTATAACAGCTTGGGTCCTAAAAGAAGTTAATTTAGAACATTTCACAGATATTAAGCTTTGTTCCCCTTCCCTAAACAACTCCCCAACCCTAATCAAGCCCCGTAATCTCAGAAGTACTTCCTTTCCTATCTCCTAAATGTAGGTGAAGCAGGTGCTTGCAAGGAGACGAAGAAGCATGTGTGAAAAACCTTCCTGAAAAGGATCCAAGGTATAATGGTTTAGGCAGTAAGGCAAATATAATAATGGAAACTAATCTGAAAAGGATTGAAGACCTGGCTCTGCCAGTGTGCATGGGGTAGTATGGGCTCTAACTATCCCTGGGGGTGGTTAGCTCCTGAGGATGCTCCCTTGAATTATTTGCCGACACTCCATCCTTCTTGGAAGCTATTTATTATTAGGACTGTTTTTATATGGCATTTTAAGGAAGTTTATCTCTGCTGTAAACTGCCCAGAGTCATTTCAATGAGATGGGCGGTGACAAATCTAATAAATAAATAAATAATAATTAATAATCCCAAAATAAATACACAACCCCCTGATGCTAGTTTCTTGGAGCTTAGTCGGGGGGACTGACATTCTGCTCTTACTAAATCATACTAAAAATCCCAGCTGTCTCTTACTTGTGGAACAAGTGTTAGCCACCCACAGACTCTGGCAACCAGTTACCACAGTAGGCCTAATAATGGGAATGCAAAGAGCAAAACTTTGAAGCACAATGTGCAATCCACTTTCAGGTATGTCTTCATGTCTAATGGTTTAAACCCTGACCAAATTTTATTGCGTAAAGGAGTCGTTTCGACCGCCTCGCTCTTTCGTTAACCCAAACGACGGATTTGGGCGCTGCGCCCGTACAAGTTGCCACAAAAGGAGCCGCCACAGCCGCCGCTACCTTCCCTTGCAGCATCGCCCTTTTTACCTCTCTTGCTCCCACCCACCTTTACCTTTGCTTGTCGAATCTATCGGGATAGTTGGAAAAGAGGTGAGCGCTCTCCTTTCCCCTTCTGACTGACTGGAACCCCACCTCCTGGCATGGTCCGCCCTGCCTGCATTGCCTAATGCCCGGGCGTTCGGCGATTCCGCGCAGGGATGGAGACAGATCGGGCAGAAGGTTTACCAGGAGGTCGCTTCGCTCGCCGTTGCGTCTTCTTGCCCGCAGCTTTTCCTAGAGCTCCCGTTTAGGCTTTTTGGAAGCTACTTCCGGGTGATTTCGGCTTTTGGAGCCTTGGCAGGTGCAGGAATGCTCGCTCTCCCGGGGACCGTCAGGATGCGGCACCGCTCCACTCGCGCTCTGCCGAACGCCGCAGTCCCGGCTGGCTTGCGCTCTCTTCCGCGCGCTCACAGCAAAGCTGCAGGCTGAGCTCCCCGGACTCAGCATGCACAAGTAGGTCAGAGAAGCACTGAGCATGCTCGCTGTTGAGCCAGGCTGCTGTGAAAATGCTACTGAGTTGTCCTCAGCTTCTTTCTGTTCCGAACCCAACGAAGGTCACATCGGCGCTTAGATGGGGGAGCGAAGAAGGCGGGGGAGGCTCAGCCCCGGGGGATTCTTTCCCCTCCGATAGGACGCTAAGAAGATAGCGTCTAATATGCGGCGCCGCACTATTGCTAGATGGGTCATAGAGATACCACATAGGTATTTTAAGATGTATGGGGTCATTCTGCTGTTGTTTGCTTTTTGTTCAGCAGAGGCAAGTTTGCACGTATCATTTCCATTTGTTTCGGTGAGGATTCTGGTGCCTCCAATCTATTTCCTCTCGTTCTTCACAACTCAGTGTGCATGCCTGTGTTTTTTACATGAATGACATATGCAATGTTGAGTTTCTGTCCAAAGAGTTTGTCATTTCCCATAATACCCAAAGCTGGGGGGAGGAGGGGATTAGAGAAAAAAGTTTAAAATAAATCCACACTCTAATTGGGGAGGTGGAAGGAAAGAGAAGAAGAGGAGGACCAGCAGCAAGGTGGATACTCAGTTACAGTACCGTTGGGTGCACCATTAGAAGATCTGAAAGACCAGGTTAGGGATAGGTGTCATGGAGAAAAACTATCTGTGTGGGCAGACCACAACTTGATGGGCCATCCTTCTCCTCCTGCTCTTCCTCCTCCAAAGGAATTTCAGAGCTATAGGCTAGACTGGGGAGTTGGAAAAATGCCAGAAAAAGTGAATGACCCACCACTTCCAAAACACTTCCAGGCCTGAGTTTAATGTGTTGTGGGGTCCTGTTGTAGTTTCTTGTCATCATGGTTGTTTTAGCCAGGGCTGCCTATGTTTTATGTTTCTATCAGTTTTTATTATTTTATTTTGTAAGCCACCCAGAATCTGGTGGAATGGGCAGCCATAAACAAATTGCCCGTGTCAATAATAAATAATATGTGCCCATGTAAACACCAGGAGCTGAGTCAATTCAATGCATCATTACTTTCAGCTGCTTAGTTTTGACACCCCACATATACAGTGCCCGCTGCAAGCAGTCCCACTTAGAGTTTAATGTTACTGTGCTTTTGAAGTACATTTGAATTTGCCCCAAGCTTTCCAGCATGAATTGAATTGTGTTAATTTTAATAACCCATTGGTGTTTTGCACTGGGTTTTAAAAACCTTTTAATGCTTTATTTTTAATTCTGTGTGCAACATACTTTATTTTTTATTTCTGCAGGATAGGGTTATTTATTTATTTTTTTTCCAATCTTCACATGAGCTGTCCTGGAAGGTTTCCCAAATGAAGAATTTTATATCAGTACTTTAAATATATTGTTCTGATTAACATCATTTAACGCCATTATCACTGTAATCTAACCTCTGAATTTCCTGTTTAAGGATTATCATTCCAGTACTGACATTTGTTATATTACAGATAAAAGCATTCAGTTTTTTGAACATTGGGCACCCATCCCATTGTTGCAAACATTATTTCATTGTTAACTGATGTACTTTGCAATCAGACACTTTTCACCATGCACGGTTATTCTGTTATTTCCCTCACCACCATTATTATTGATTCTGAACTGTCTTCTTGTTTCCCCAGATGTGTATATATGTCCTTTTATTCTAGATTTTATCAGTCATTTCACTGTTGTCAACATGTAGCATTTTCCGGTGATTATATGCACAGCTTCACTGGATATGTTCTTCTAGTCTGCACAGCCTGCACTCTAATGTTACTCAGCCTGCAGATGTCATTTCTTCACTTGATGTCCTCTAAAAGACCATTTGTTGGCTGTTATGTTGATATGAAGTTCCATCATATCATACCTTAATCTCTTACATTCATCTGTTATTACCCACAAACGGGCAGGATGTGACATTTGAAGAGAATTGAAGAGAAACAGAATGGCAAAGGAGAACTGGAAGAGTTACCTGCCCACAATTGTAGTTTACAATATTCATTCATTCATGTCCTGACAACAGGAATTTTCTCTATTGATCCCAAAACATTGACCTCATCTTGTTCCCAGCCTGTGAATGAAATATTCTTATGGCATCATTAGGTATTCCAGTTTTAAAATATTATTTCTTCCCTAAAGCCAGTCCTACCCTCCTCAGCATCAAGGTCTGTAAAATCTGTAACACTTTTTTATACATCCATTATCATAGATGTGAATCAGCTGACCTGTGTGGGTGTGATCAGAGGTATATTTGGGGAGGGTTGGGAGGTGAGGCATGCCCCTTCCATCTGGTCACTAGGCAGCTTCTGCCGCACCAATTTCTTTTTCAGCCTTTGGCCTCTCCATAAGCACTTTGATTCCTAATATTCCTTCATACTCCTCATAGTCTCCTCTCTATTTTTGATTCTGGGCTTTCAGCAAGGTAGAGAAGAGGAGAGGAAGTATTGTACTTGGGGACAAACAGAGACTGTATTTACCCTATTCTTCTTTAATAACATTGTGAACCGACCAGTTCTCCATTATTGCATTTGGGGAAGTAAAGGAGATGTTTTGGGCTGTTCTGCTTTAATAATATTCATAAGATCCAGCTTTGATTCTCCCAATTGCTGTGTTCAAAACACTATGAGGGATGCCAAACATAACTTTTGTTGCTTCCTTATTTATTTACTTAATAATATTTATAGCCTGTTCCAATCCAACTGGATTCTGGATGGGATACCCCAAGGTCAAGACAAAAACACAAACATTGAAAATTAAATAGAAACAATAAAAGATCAGTAACACAGGTGACTTTCAGTAAACTAACCTAAGGGGCAAATGTGTAGTGGAACAACACTGCTTCGGCAGTTTTTTTTTTAAATTCCTATAGAGTAGGGCTGTCCATTCCTCTATGGGGAGGATTCCATAATATGAAAGCCTTCACTGGAAAGGCCTACTCCCCATAAACCTTATAAGGATGGAGCTACAGCAGGGCCAGATAGGTGGATTTTGGCAAAGCATTGCCTGATATTGTACTAGTTGTTGCTGTTGTTGTTGTTTCTCTCTATTGGACATTTTAATCACAACTCTACCCAATTTTTTTTAAAAAAATGCCTAGCAGCTAATCAGTTTCAGTTATCTCACTTTATAGGGTCTAGTTAGTTGCACAGCCAATAGAAGGTTAATCTCAATCTTCTATGGGGCGGGGCTATTTCTTCCAGAGTGTCTTCTTCCTATATGCTTCTTTAGTTTACACTAACTTGGGACGTGCAAAAACGGGATGCAAAGAGGGGATAGGCAAGCCAGGGATGTCCAGGCAGAGTTCTGAAGTCAGATCCTCTCCATTCCTGAATGGGGGTGTTTTCCCTGCTGGCTTGTGATGTGCTGAATTGGGTCTGTAGAAAAGCCAAAGGAGAAAACCAACTCCCTGTCTATAGCAAGTGGCAAATTCACCCGGCAGGACCATTTGGCAATGATTTGGAACAGACCCAAGAGAGGCAGGATGCTGCTTGTCAATACAGTCAGCAACGCTTATGTAAGGATGGTTTTGTGCTGATTCCAAGATGGGTGGATATTAATTCAGTAGGGAAAGTCCCTAAATATGTATTATATACATTAAGTGCATTTTCAGTTTGACAAATGGCACCTGCAGGAAAGCAATACAGTATAGAAGTTGGAATTTGGGACCAGCCATGTCTTCTTCCAGGTTATCTCATTCCATTTACCCTTTTCCTAAGTTTCCCCACTTGACCTAATGAATATTCTACCATATTTCAAGACTGAAATGCTTACCTGAGGGTTGCTTGTCATCTGGTAGGATCTCAAATCCTCTAGGCATCTCAGCGAATCCATGATGCAGATCACCGGAAGCATAGTAAAACAACATAGTTTCTTTCTATTTTATTTATTTTATTTATTTTATTTTATTTTATTTTATTTTACTTTTTTCTTTCATGTACAGTTGAGATAATTATATATTATAATGAGGAACATTAAGAAACTGGATACATTTATCAAGTAATTCATTTTTTCACTGGATTTTTAAGACATTCACACAAGTACTAGAATGTTTTGCTTTATTTTGTTCTGTTTATGCTAGCAGAATTGCTGTTAATACTGATTGGTCATTGCGTGAGACACTTTCCTTCAAAACAATATATTGTAATGTTTTATACAGTCAAAGCAGAATCAGTTATATTGTTTCATAATATCCATATTAGATACATTTTTAAGAAACAAAAATTATACATCAATTATATAGCTTCACCAGCAGATGGCAGGACAATTTCATGGAAAAGTTTTCTTGAAATGTACTAATTATTAAGAATAGCAACATGCTGGCATTGATTTGGCCCTGTTTTTTTTCTATTATAGAAACTTTTTTTATGAACTTGTTCTGCCATCTGCTGGTGAAGCTATACAACTGGGAAAGTCACTTTAATAATGAAACTTGACAAAAATAGATCATACATACACGTTTTTTCAAGGTTATATAGTATAGCTTTGGGACTATGCTTTTCGAAGAAAAGCATATTTCAAATGCTTTTACATCAATATTTATAGCACCAAAAATAATTGCTGATCACAGTAAGATTAAATTTAGAAAAAGCAATGGCATAATAAAACTGCAGAAAGTTGGGATCCAATAAATTATTTATGGAATGCTTGCTGAAATTAGAAGTACCATTTTAGAATAGTACAGATTGAAGTTTTTGGTAAATTCCAGTTTGTAGCAGTTTTAACCATTTCTTCAAGAATGACAGCTGCATGAATGAAGTGTCCCTAATGTAACTCTTGAGTAAGAAAGGAGTCTATCAAGATAGTTTTTTAGAAGCAAGTGGAAAAAAATCAGGAACATTAAACTGGTGTTTCTAAGTTCTTTTTTTTTTTAGTTTTGGATTTTACATCTGATTTCCAATTCTTTTTTCTACTCAGTTTCCTCCTTTATCAAATCCAACCGATTTGTAGGTATCCTAAGAAAAAATATGTATTTAAAATGCAAGCATTCTTTAATTCAGTATTATCATACAAGAGAATACAATATCTTTTCACTTCTATTTCATAAATCAGATAAAACCCATTCATTTGGAGGACTACAATGGCAGGTTTGTTTTGAATGGGATGAGCAAACCTATGTAAATAAATAATACAAACATGAAGAACTTTGGTGGCAGCAGTTGTAGCTAAGTAACCATTTTTCCTCAATGAACTAATTATATTGATATTCACAGAACATTAGAACAGATAATATTGTAATTTTTCTTTATAATAAATCAGTGTTTTTTCAAATGGCAACTTTAAGATGTGCAGGCTTCAACTCCGAGAATGCCTCAGCCAATTTTAAAAGTTGCCAACTTTGAAAAAAACTGTTATGAATGAATCAAAAATGGATAATACTGTGAAACTAACCGATGTAATTGGGACAGAATAAAACCTAAAAATATACTGTTTTGAAGCAAACTGTCTCATGCAATGTCCAAACAGCAGTTCTGTCAGCATAAACAGAACAGAACAGAACAAAACAAAACATCTTCCAATTAATGCATATATTTTTAGAAAGTCCAATTAAAAATAAATTAGCTAATGAACTGCTCCATTTCTTAATGTTTCTTAAAATATATAGTTGAGATAACTGTAATAATTGTACATGAAAGATAATGAAATGTAATAGAAACAAACCAAGTTAAAGTAAATAATTATACAACTGACTTATGAAGACATTTCAAGAAATACCCATCCTGGAATCAGCACTAAACAATCCTTACATAAACGTCGCTGACTGTATTGACAAGCAGCATCCTGCCTCTCTTGGGTCTGTTGTGAGTCATTGCCAAATTGATGAATTTGCTTGGTGAATTTGCCACTTGCTATAGACGGGGAGTTGGTTTTCTCCTTTGGCTTTTCTACAGACCCAATTCAGCACATCACAAGCCAACAGGGAAAACACCCCCATTCAGGGCATCTCAGCAGGAATGGAGAGGATCTGAAGTCTGCCTGGACATCTGCCTGGACATCTCTGGCTTGCCTGTCCCCCCTTTGCACCCCATTTTTGCGTGTCCCAAGTTAGTGTAAACTAAAGAGGCAGTTGGTGGGTGAAAGCTTGAGAGGAGGAGCAGCAGCTACGTGATGATGATGCTATCGGTTCAATCGTGTCTGATTCGCTGGTTGTAGCGATTCTACGGACCAGCTCTTCACATTTTCTAGTTGTACAGTTGTACAGTTTCTTTCAGTTGTTTTATGCTCTGGTTGGTGTCAGCTTTGATGGTGTCTAGCCAATGTGTTTTTTGGTGGCCTCATTTCCTTTTACCACTGACCATTCCTATCATAACTGCCTTTTCCAATGAATTTGATTGCATGACATGGCCAAAATATGTAAGACAGAATTTTCTGATTTTGCCCTCCAGTGATATGTCTGGTTTTATATGCTCCAGAACTTGCTTGTTTGTCACCTTTACTATCCAAGGAATGTACAGAGCCTTCTCCAACACCACAGCTCAAACAGGTTTTTAATTAGATCCTTGATATCAGACACACCAGGGTAATATTTATCTATCAGAGTTTTGACATGATTAACACATTTCTGCAAGATCTTAATGGATAACATAACACAAATATCAATACCCCAAACAATCCTGTGGCTTAGAGATTCAGCTTATTAAAACTTGATAATTTTTGATTAAAGGAGGCTACATGACTTGTTTATTATTAATTTGTTAAATTAGATCTCCCATGATAGAGTATGGCTATATGGTTCCCTACCGTACTACACATTCTGAGGAATAAGTGCCAAATGAAAGAGTCCGGGTCTATGTACCAACATGTCAGAAGAAAAGGCTATTGAGCTGTTCTCTGGTATAAATAGGAGCTCTCCAAAGGGGTCAACCAAAGGTGACACCACAGTTCATAACTCTTTAGAGATGAGGTGGCATTAGGAGTCAGTGGCATTCATTGTAGCACTGTTATGTCTCTGATGCTGCCTTGATCATTTAGTTTTTTAGATCAAGAGCAAATGGGTATGGGACTATTTCCCAGGCTGACAACTTCCCACTCCCTAATCAGTTGATTCCCTGGGAAACTAGGGATTTCCATACTAGGGAGATGGTAGTTGCAAATGACGTTAAGCAGGAACTTTGTATCGATGTTATCTATAGCTAGCAGCTAGTAGATGTGGTTCAGGTTGGTGAAAGAGCACAGGGTATCCTGTGGATTTTGTAGAAAAAGCCCTGCTGAGTGTATAGGGAAATTATGAAATGGGATTTGATAGGTTTTGGGACCTGGAAATGAAATGAAAATACTTTGGTTTGCTGTAAAACCAAGGCAAGTCTGCCAGAAAATTATCCTAGGAAATCACATTAAAAGAAGCAGGAACTTCTGCAAAAAACTAGTAAGTGCTGCAGAGCTTCTGATAGTTTGCCAAATCTAGAAATCTTACAAAATCTAGAAATCTTTTGTAAGACTGCTGCCTTCTCTATATATCAGATAACTATCATCATCTCATATATTTGTCTATTATTTTATAGTTGCCTCTTCTGTTCCTTCTCATTAGCTATGATCTCTCTGCTGTTACTGAAATTTACATAGTGAATTTCTTAGTGAAGGACCTACCTTGTTTGCTTATGTTAACTTTGAATGTACCCTGGCAGTGATGTTTCAGAAAACCTGACCCACTTTTCCAAGATCTCCTTTTGTAACTAGACTATGAAATTGGATCTGAGCTTTACCTTCATCTTACGTATATATTGGTAGTGGAGAATTGGAAAACGGAGTCCACAGCAGGCGTCAGATATATTGCTGAGTACCAAAGTCTCTCAGTTTAATCAAGACATAAAAATCTTGATTAAATTGAAACTTTGGTAGTGAGCAATATATTAAATAGATGATACATAAAATACCCAGAGTGGTAATAGGGATCATGAGTTGTGCAGAGCCAGAACCAAAAGATGCAAGCATCCATTATCTGCTGACTTTCCCTCTTTCTCTGATATACTCTCACAGCTTTTCTTCTTTTTGTGTGTGTGCGCGCGCCTTCAAGTCATTCTTGGCTCCTGGCAACTGCCTAGACAAGTCCCTGCATTTTTCTTGGCAAGATTTTGGAAGTGATTTGCCATTGCCTCCTTCCTAGGGTTGAGAGGATGACTGGCCCAAGGTCACCCAGCTGGGTTCATGCCTAAGGCAGGACTAGAATTCATTGTCTCCTGGTTTCTAGCCCGATGCTTTAAACACTACACCAAACTCTCCCTCTTTACTGAATATTATTCTTTCTCAAATAGCAAGTAGGAGACAGCTATTTCATTTTAAATATGCATTGCTTGTTGAAGTCTTTCAAACTCTGGTCAGGAAAAACCATAGATTGCGTATTTATGGATTACAGAAACACTTTCTTTTAAATAAATAGTGTTTGTTCTACTTTCATTGCCCCTACATGTCAGACCCTTTAACCTAATCTAGGATTGTCTCCTGTATAGGCTGTGGTTGCCAATTTCACTTAGATCCTAAATAGTCTTGCATATAGCCAAGCCTTGGAGCAACCTGCTCTTAGGAGATCTGAGTGCTCTGCATGGACCATCCATGCTGGAATCCTTTCTTATTAAAATGGAATTGCAGGATTGACAGTTGTCTTCATACAGCTAAACCACAAAACTCTTTATGATTCTGTACATTTTCTTGCTATCACTCATGTCATTGCATCATCTCATCTCATCTTTGCTGCAAGTGACAGGACCTTCGTCTGCATTCCCTTGCATATCTATAATGCCTTTGCAGTATATATCTGAAAGTCTTCAGACTGAACTAACCATAAAACTTATTTTGGACTATAAGAAAAAAAAATGGAATTGTGTGTTAATGCTGTCTGAGTTTAGAGATGTCAGACCTGTGTTCTCAGGGTCAGAATAGTGCTAAATTTCTGCCAGAAATACTCAAAGTACCAGATCATAATACTGTCTCCTATTGTGTAGTCTAAGTTCTGAGATTAATACAAATCAACCATGCAAAAAAAACAAAAACAAAAACAAAAACAAAAACAAAAAACCCCCAAACCCAAAACACTACTTTGGAGATATATTCTGAATAAGCCCCCATTTTTAAAAATAATTGTTAATATTTTATATGATATAAAGAAAACAAAGTAAGTTGGATTATTTTTTTCAAATAATGCAGTTACCAAAACTGTCTAGTTATTATGCTTTATGGAAGTTGTACAGTAGCAAAAATGGTGAAAACGAAACACTTATCTTAGCACCTTTTATTCAGAATGAGAACAAATCAATGTTTACAGACGTTTAGAAATCTTGCTGAAGACCTGCCCAAGAGTTATCAAAATGAATCGAGATCATATCACAGCTGAGCCTGTGTCAAATATGCATTTTGCATATATGCAAAAGTATTTTTTCCTGCTCCTTCACTTGAAAGTATGCTTCTATGTAAAGCTTATTATTTTTAAGAAAAAAGAGACTGTGTCTTCAAAGCCAGGGGTCAGAAGATTTTCACTTAGTCATCTATGAATTTCTGTCATATCTATGTTAACAGCCAGAATTAAGTTTGTGCAGAAACAAAAAGTTAAGAAGCAGCATTTGTAGCGTGAACCAGTATTCTTGTCAGTTCAATATCTGTATTAGTTTCATGATCCAAGACCCTTTAAGATTCATGTGACCCTGGAGGTGGGAGAGAGAAAAGAAAAAATGAGCCTTAAAACACAGTGATGAAAAAGGGCAAGTCAGTAGCAGAATTTACAGCTGTCATTCAGTTGTGAAAATCTTAAATGGAAGCGAAGTGCATTTAGAAGTATGACAGAACTGTTTGAACAGAGTTTCTGCACCTGAAGGAGAAAGATGTTGGATTAGGCCTCCAAATATTTCTGCACAGGATAGTTCTATTTGGCACAGCAGGAGGGCAATAACTATGAAAATGATCTTCAGTATCTTTGTGGAGCAAAGTAGCAACAGGATTCCCTGAACATAGGAAAGCATGTTTATGAGGCACTATTGGAAGGAGGAAGCTTAAAAGTCCCCATGCATAAACAGATCATCAACCTGCTCTTTTACAGACTAACAACTTTATTTAAAGGCAAACTGGCAATCTAGTAATGATCACGGATGATTCCCAAAGCTTTGTAATTAAGCACTTTCTGTGGGGTAAAACTGAAATCATTAAATTGCTCCTCCCAAGAGAGGGAGAAAGTGATAATGAGATTATGTAAGAGATCAGCTTAAAAGAGATTCAGTTCTTCAGTATCTGATACATAGACAAGCTGTCCAAAGCCATTAAATGGCTCTGAAGATTTACTTTCAGTAATATTTAAAAGTATTGTTATATTTTTAGTCAAGTGAAAAATAGAAACAATGTTTCTCTTCCCATAAATATTATATGAGCTGACTTCTTTAATTCAATTATTGGATATTTCAAATATGCATCCTGCAAATAAAGCTATCTACTCTCAGAAGAAACAGACACAATTTTATTTATTTATACAGGTGTTTGGTGTTCTAAGCTAGAGGATGGGAATCTTATATCTGACTGCACAGAAGGAAGTTCAATAAAAAGTATCATTTTTTAAAAAATATATAAATTTTCCTGCTTTTACACGTTAAAATATATCTCAAAGGCCTGTTTTCTTAATCCAAAGCTTTAAGTATAGGTGATCAGTATTTCCATGGAAAAAATTGCTCTGAAGAAATACCTGTGATGACATCAAATACAGCCTTTAATCTATAAGAGACACACAGCGTTCTAATTTATTTAATTAAACAGGTCAAAAAATAAAGTTGCCCATATTAGAGATTCTATTTTCAAACTCTGTTCCTTCTTACCTGTAAAAATCCTTGAGCTCAAGTTCTGTTTGTGGAAAACTTTTCTCCACTTTAAGTTTGTTTGCTTTAAAAGTCAAAACAATATATTAACAGAAAACATACACTAGTTAGAGAATTTCTGAATGAACCATGAGGAGTATTAGAAGATACAGAAAAATATTAAAAGGGACAGAAATTAAATCAATTCAACACAAAGAAACTCAACTCTGAAATGTATAATGCTTAATTTCAGGAAGAATAACAACAGACAAAAAAACAGCAGCACTGTGAAGTCTGAAGTATTAAAAACTTTGCTGGCAAAAGATTTCAGCCTCATTGAGTAATGTTTTCATGGCAACATAATTAATAGGTAAATTCTGCACATAATCATACAATGTTTTGAGATGTTAATGTACAGTTTTAAAACAGCATATACGTTCTTTATCACATATATTCCATATCATAGTATATTCTCTACAGCTGGAAAAAACACATTTTATTAAAAGTTGGTTTATCCTGAAATCCTCTAGCTTCTTAAGGAATTTTCATTTAGTAAAATCATACAGCTTCTTTAATGAGTTCAGCCAACCTTTGCAAACCCTGTAACAACAACAAGAGCAGCTATTAATATGATACAAATCAGTAAACAGATGTGTAAATAAGGCTGGTTTGCAAAAACAAACAGTTGGAAAGGTATAGTGAATGGTGATGGTATTGTAAACTAGATTTAGCTATATTTCCCTTTCTCTTATCTCATCCATTTAATTTCTGTAGCTTACTATTTTGTACTCCTTTTTTATGTTTTGTATAATACTGCTTATCCCCAAAAGTGATAGTGTGATAGGTGGGTATATAATTATAGTAATTATTAAGTAAGATTAAATAAGAATGGTATTAAAGATGGTTATTATAATAAGGTTTTGAACCTTATTATAGTACCTCCAGGAGGGGCACTATGTGTGCATGTAAAAGAGCTGCACATTCTGTTATCCAATCTTCCTTTCTTTCCAATGTAATTTCTTGAATACAAATGCAGAAACTTGAGTTGGAATTCCAAGGTGTTAGATAACTACATACATGTTCCATATCTTCACCCAACCTTCCTTCCATTCATCATGCACATTTCTCATAATCCAATGCCATATACAAACAGGTTTCCACACTGAATGTGCACTGAAATGTTCCATGTACTGCCTGTACATGTTCTTGTACATTTAGATTAGGGGAAATCAGGCACTCTTCTATGCATTGGCACTATTCATGAGATTGAGTGGAAAGAAACCTTTATGTTTTAATCCTAAATTAACTATATTGGCAATATTCCTAGGCCTACAATATTTCATGCATACATCTAAATATATATGTAGTGTTCACAAACTCATACAAATATTCCATATTTCTAATTCTAATATTACATAAAAGCAGGATCCTATAACTGCCTATACCAATCCCATAATGTGTAAGACTGTAGCCTGAATTAACTTTCTAGTCCTTAAAAACTTTCCAGCAAGTAACCAAATCATCCAATCAACACACACATGAAAAGTAATGTTATGTACATGAAAGATCCAAATTTGATAGCCCAAATTCAGTGTTTCTCACAGAAAGATGGAAAGACGGAAATCAAATAGAAAATGGCTTATCAACTATCACATAACAACAGAGTTAATGACAGTGAGTCTGACCAAATGGTAGATGGGGAGGCAAGCCAAACTGCACTCACCTGATCAATCTGACTTGGAGAAGACAGAGAGAAGGAGGCTCTGACGTAAGAGCTGGGATCGGAACTGTTAATGTTAAATGAACATCCAGGAACCAGCAACACCTAAAGCAGAACCCTTCTCAGTCAGTCATAAGCTTCTTATGTTAGAAACTGTTACAATTATTATTAGCCCTCTCTCCCCATTTTGGTTTAGGTCCAGTATGTATTTCTCATACTTGTTTCTCCAAAGCTTTTTTCATGATCAGTTCTTGGGTATCAGGAACTCCCTTAATTTTAATCCATAGAAACATTCCAGCAGCAGGGGTATGCCAGACTGCCAGGCCTTAAATGAGAGAAATAAGAGTGAAAAAGAGAGTACAAGGCATACATCCCTGCCACCAACTAACCCAAGGAATTACTTTAGAAATGCACTGACGTAGAAGTCATGATTTAAAACTGAACTGTATGCTGACTTCTTACCCTACCAGTGGGCAGAAAGTAGACTGGGATCTATTATCAGAACAGCAAAAGTTTCTCCTTTTGTTCTAAGATAACAGCAGTAATGAAAAACCCTTCTCCTGAGCTTTCTTGTTCCACAAATTGAGAAAGGACTGTTGGAGGAAAATTAAGAGTGGAGTTTTTGATAAAAGAAGCATGCTCTGGTTCAGACTACAAAATCCTGGGCTAGGTACAGACTAAATAGTAGCCTGGTATATGTATGCTTTTCATTTTAAATTACTGCTGGTAAAGTAAATGCAACTTATTCTCTTCAGTGCAGGTGGCCGCATTGCAACTTTACTTGAAAATCTGTTCAGTAAGTAAACTTGCGCATACAGTTCTGAGTAAAATGTGTTCTGAGTAAACTTGCACATATAGGGCTGAGCTTTAGGCTGGCTACCAGAGTAAGGAAGATGGTCTTGACAGAGATACACAGGATCTGTTGCCTAGGCATTTTTAAGTCCAGTACTATGAGAGAACATTTAGAAGTGGCTCAGGTAGGCATCTCCCTAATTCACTGAACTGTAAGATGGAAGACAAGGCATGGCACAATCAGACTTGCAAAATTCTGTAATTATAGCCAATCTCAATAAAGGTGGTTTCAGTTTTAGCTTTTCTGTGGAGTGAATTCCTGGTCTGGTCTACCTAGTGGGGCTGACACAGGGGCATCCACCACGTTGTGTCTGGTGGAATGAGTTATAATGGTTAGGTCCAAGACACGCTTTGTTGAATAAAGAGCTGTGGACAATTAGCAACGCCATTAGCAGAATGTAGTAACAGAAACATGTGGGAAATATTATTGACTTGACAAATCATACACCTGATAGAGGACAATTTCTTTACTAACAGCAACCACAAGTGGAAGTGTACAGTCTGGAATAGTTGTAGGGGCACAGACAATAGCAGGGGTGAAGCACAATGTGACAGTGGTGCAAAAGTCAAGGGAAAAGTACCATACTATATTTTCACAGGAAAATCATCACTGAACATTGAACAACCTCTCCAATAGGACAAAGATCAATTTCACTGAAATGGCTGTTTCTTAAGAGCTACTTTTAATGGCCTGCTATGCTTGCTTGCTTATTTATATGAAATTGTTTTTACTGAAAGTAACCCCAAAGTGGGATACACTAACTTTTCACACCCTTCTCAGTACAAAGGGAAGAGCTATAATCTTCCTCTTTTTAATCATCTTTCTGGTAGTATACGTCACTCATATATTAACAGTTCAAATGTTCAATGACTCCAACCTTTTAGCCATTTGTCTGCTGCGTTAAGCATCACATCTCGCTGTTTCTTGTAAAAATCCACCACACTAGCAGAAGATGGGAAAAAGAAAAGAAAAGAAAAAGAAGCATAATAATGAGCAGACTCTTCAAAGTTACAATTCTGATATCCAAAACAAGGGAAATTCATTTAGGGGAAGACTTTATTATGGAAACAGCAATCTGATATAAAGATCGCTGTGCCCTAAATGACTGCTGTGTGGAGCCTGATTTTTTTGCCATGCAGCACATCATTCATGTACAGGATGATATTCTCCAAAATTGAGACAAATTTTTCATTGCTGCAAGTATTTTTTAAAATGAAAATCTGTCAGGAGGAATACTGTACATACAATCACTAATGGAAAGAACGTTAAATGGCCTTACTCCACATGGCTGTTTTGTGTATATCTTTTTTGAGGCATCCAAATTGTATTGATTTCAGAAGCACTAAAGAGCAGAAAATACTGTGTATCATTATTAGGAACATTTATTGTTCAGATGACAATGATGAGGTAATACAATGTAAATGTATTAGAATTCAATTTTCAGCGATTGCAGCACAAACCTGTATATATCTTTGTCTCTCAGCTCTTTTCTAGCACAAAATGATATTAACCAATGTATGTATACCTGGTGGAAGAGGATGTTCAAATAATGTGGTCTACGGTATTCCTATATAAAACAACAGTGCAAACACGTATAATAGACTTGCAGGCTAGACCTAAAAACTGACCCAAAAGGAAAAAAAGATGGTATAGGAGAAAAAAAAACAAACCCTCCAAATCAGACAGAAGCTTAACTTATAGTTCTAGTAACCATCATGAATGGAAACATTTGGGTAGTGGGAATTTAAACAGAGTTGATCTCTGAGCAGAGTTCATGTAAGCGTATTGCTTTTTTCATCCCTTTCAAATGTACAGGAGATTTCAACTGATGCCACTACACTGATTACACGTTCTAGCCACTGTATACTAATTTCTTGTGAATCTATCCATCTGATATAAGCTATCCTAGAGTTCCCAACTTTGCTTGCAATTTTCCCCAGCTCCCCCAATGTGTACTTAATTACTCAATGAATGGCTCACTTATTTCCACAATTTCAAAAGCCAGCATACAAAATGCAGAGTCCTGCAGAAAATGCACAATAAGACATTTCTGGTACTATCAGAAATAGACATTTCATTCTAAATATATTTACTTAGAAGTTAGCACCACTGTGTTTAACAGGATGTAGGCTCATTTACTGCAATTCCCAGATGTATGTATGTATGTATATGTGTGTGTGTGTATATGTAAAATTATTTGTGATAGTGACATTAAGAACAATATATATTTAAATATATATACAAGGGGATAATAAAAAACACAATATGCTAATAATGAAATATACTAAATATATATTACCTGTCTACGTGGTCCAGGAAACCCTTTAGTCCCCATTGTTGAAGAAGCTGGGCTATCACAAGCTATAGAAATAGTGGGGCTACAGTCAGTATTTTACTTGCTTATCAACAGATACTAATAAATAATCTAAAATGGCTTAATAGAGAACCAAGGCCATGTAACACAACCCTATGGATGGGAGGATTATTCTGAAGTAAGCTATAGAGAGAGACCCAGTCTGGTGTAGTGGTTAAGAACACCATGCTAGAAACGAGGAGTTGGTGAGTTCTAGTCCAGGCTTAGGCACAAAGCCAGCAGGGTGAGTCTGGGACAATCCCTCTTTCTCAGCCATAAGAAGGCAATGGCAAACCACTTCCAAAAATGTTGCCTAGAAAACTGCAGGGCCTTTTCAGGCAATTGCCAGGGGTCAAGACTAACCCAGAGGAATGAAAAAGCTATATACAACTGCAGCCTTATAAGTTTTATTTGAACCTATATAATCATGTTTATAAACAAATATGCCTGATACTGATAGTGTTCTGCTAATAGTAGTATTAATAGTAGTAGTAACAGTAGTCTGGTGCTATGTAATTTTGGGTACTGTTCAAAGCATTGCTTAATTCAGGCTTGTTCACAACCTTAATACACAGCTACAGAAGTGGAATAGAGAAAGGGCTTGCTATAGAAAATCTAATCCGCATCAGAGCTTTCAAATGCTCACAATTGTAAACAAGTTATAAAGTAGTTTTAACATCCTATTAAATAAAAGCAATAAAGAGAGAATGTTTTCTTTTTAAAATGGCCTATATTTTCATCCTGATGGTACTTTTTTTCCATAGAAAAATCTTAATTTTCATTAAAATTGTGCCAATCATACAAAACATGTAGGTTTGGGGAATTATAAATAATGAAGTGTGTTCAGTTTTAGACAATTCCATGGTATCGATCTGCAGTAAATACATGGGTGTCATATTGATGTTAGCGTCAAAAAGTGTACAAAAGTTAAGGTAATATATATTTATATATAGTTGGAACCATGATTGTTTTTACCTGGGTGAATGTACTGGTATGCATTGTGGAAACCTGTATATGTAGAATAACTCTATCAATTAGTGGCTTAGGACCAGTTAGAAATCCAATTCTTAGCCTGTGCAAAAAAAAATAAAAAAATAAAAATATACATAAAACGCCATGTCAGTATTATGGAAGACATATCTTTACTCCTAACATTCATATTGATTTTGAGGTAATAGAAGAGAATTATGGAAATTTTAGGAAGAGGAAAAACAAGCCAATTTTACAAAAGGTAATGAAGAAGGAATCTAAGTAGCTGTAGTTATGGAGCCTGGATAACTATAGACAAGGAAATGTCGGATATTGTTTCAGGAAAAAGATTATTGTATCAAGAAAATTGAAGGATATAAGATGGACACATGGAACAGCATTCAACTATTAAACTGTATAAGTCAATTTCAAAGAAGACTGCAATCAGAATGTCTTTTTTTCAAATTAAATTTATACCAGTAGCCTTAGGGACTTTCAAAGTTTGTGCCTGGCCAGCCCACATAACTGAATGTCCAACTATGGTGTCTTCAAGGTGCAGCTGAATTTACCCAGATGAGAGGATCTTAGAAAAGGAGTCAGTCCTGATAACTCGCCCATCAATGTCCATTGAAAGAAAGGTTGGTGCCCAAGGCTTCAGGAAAGAATGTAGAGGTTTGGTGTTAGTAACTAATACTTGCACATGGTGGCTCACAACATGTTGTGGAAAAGTTTTTTAAACAAACTTGTGCACATATTATGAAACCTAGTCATGCAACAAATGTTGGGCTTTAAAGTATAACTACATGTGTACAAGGAGTGGAGCATCTGCCAATAGACAACCACCATTATAAATGGTACCTCTTGACAGTCATGTATTATCAAGATATAGCAAGTTTGTTTGTTTGTTTGTTTGTTTATTTATTTATTAAATTTCTCACCTGCCCATCTCCCTCCCACTGGGGGAACTCTGGGAGACTCACACCGAACATCAATAACATAAATATATATAAATACATAAAACATCAGTTAAAAGCATTTCTAAAAAAGGGGAAGGAGAGTCCAAGAAGATGAAAAATCTGAGGCTGAAGACAGGAGGCCTCTATGGGGCTA